CATGTACAATGCAGTGGAGAGGTGAAGCCATGGACATTAAACCAACAATTGTACTAATTAATATATGTGATAAAAGATAAGGAAAAGAAAGGAAATGTTATAATACTTATACTATGTATAGTAAAGGTGGTGACCAGTATGGAGAAATTAGGAAAGTCTGCCTGGGAAGGTGATATTAAGGTCAGACTTAAGGATACACAGGAGTGTGGAAAGGGTGTTTTAGGTAGAATTAGCAGCACCTGGCAAGCTCCTGAGGCGTGAGCATGCTTGACTTTCAGGAACAGCCAGGGAGCTGGGGAAGGCTGTAGGATGAATTTGGAGAAGTAGAGGTCCAGTCACTGGGGTTTGTACTACATCCTTAAGGTACACATGTGCAGAGGGTGATCTTTTAGACTTGCTTTTAGAAAGCTCACTCTGGTAGTTAGGTGGAGACAGCCTAGGCGGTAGGGATAGAAGAGAAGAAAGAGGTCCCTGGGGTTAGGGACTGGTTTTTGCACCCACAAGCTAAGGGCTCAACATTTGGGAGGAACAAAGAACAAAGAAAGTGGAGGTGGCAAGTCACATTTCTCAAACTGGACTTTGCCTACAGCAATTGACACCCAACTACTTGGTGGCTGCAACTAACACAGGGAGATGGTGCCATAAAGTCTGATGCTGGGAACCACCAACATCCCTTCTCTGAGCGCCAAGCCCTTTTAAACACCTCTTGGGGTTCTGACCCCATTTTGGGGATACCACGGAATGTGGCACAGAGGGGACCATTAGTGAAGAAGGTAGACAGTGAGGATTGCAGGAGGTGAGGGACTTCATCAAGTAGAAGTTGTAGAATTGATACAAGGGATGACAGAATCTCTGGGCTGGAGGTGGCAGGTCCTGACCTACACTAGTGGGCAGAAGACGGGGCCTGTTTCCACCTTGTGGTGTAAAGTGTTATCACCCAAGACCCTGGTTATTCTGACATTGACTTTTTAATACAGATCACTGTTTTGTAATCACCAGACACGATAGTGATGGCTTCTATTTTTGGTCTCTTGCAGGAAAAGAAATTAAGGTTGATTTTGAGGGGCCTTAGGGGTAGATTATCAGGGCTGTGACTAGGGTGAGGTCTCCAAAATTTTGACCAGATATTCGGTGATAAAGATAAGTTATAGTTAATGCAATAATTTGAAAGACCAAACTGAATGCAAAATTTCATTATGAAAGACTTATCAGCCTTTTAAATAAAGATTTGATGTAAGTCTGCACTTTCACAACTTCCCTCATCACTCCCTGACCCTGTTCTTAGCTTCTTTTCTTGTTTCAAGTTTATAAAACACAAATACTAAACACAAGATGGTTTACTCAACACAAAAATGAGCTATCAGAAAGAGGAAGGATGGCAACCATACCAGTTTTCTTTTAACATTATCAGAATTAATAGTATACAAAGGGATAACCTTAACCAAGGGAGAGAATGGTCTGCACACTGAAAACTATACAACACACTGTTGGAAGAACTGAAGAAGACCCCAAGAAATGGAAACACATTTTGTGCTCATGGGTCAGAATAAATATTGATAAAATGGCCATTTTACATAAAGTCATCTACAGATTCCGCACAATACCTGTTAGATTCCAATGGCATTCTTCACAAAACCTAAAATATGTCTGAACCACACAAGACCTAGAATAGCCAGAAAAGTTGAGAAAAAAGAACAAAATGGGGGGTATAATGCTCTATTCAAACTATACTAAAATTTACAATGATCAAAACAGTGAAATAAAAAGACACACAGATCAATGGGATAGAATCAAGAACACAGAATTATAACTGTACACATGTGGGCAGTTCACTTTATGACAAAAGAATGGAGAAAGGAACTTCTCTTCAATAAACAGTAGTGGAAAAACTGGACAGCCACTTGCAAACCAATGTAATCAGATCACTATTTTATACCGTGTACAAAATTAATTAAAAAATGGATGAAAGGCTTGAATGTAAGACCTGAAACCATCAAACAATAGAAGATAATGATAAGCTCTTTTGACATTGGCCTTAGTGTATCTTGTGGATTTGTGCTCCAGAGAAAGGGAAATAAAAAACCCCAAAGAATGTAAACAAGTGGGATGACATCAAACAAAGTCCTTCTGCACAGAGAAAGAAACCATCATCAAAATGAAAACTGGGGCGGAAAGAGCAGACGGGACTATGGTGATGGCACATGGGTGAAGCGGTGGTGGGAAGTCCACTGGGATTACAACTGAGATGAAAAAAATGTACAAAATGAGGAATAATGTAAAAAAATAAGTATATAAAATAAAAAAAATATGAAAAGCAGCCTATCGAATGGGAGAAGGTATTTACAAACAATATGTCAGATAAGAAGCTAATATCCAAGTATATAAGCAACTCAAAACTCAGCAACAACAATAAAACCTGATTAAAAACTGGAAAGAGGAGCTAAATAAGCATTTAATTAAAGAAGATAGATTAATGGCCAATAGACCCATGAAAAGATGTCCTACACTGAGGAAATGCACATCAAACCACAATGAGATGTCACTACTCCCTGAAGAATGGTCTGTATCAAAAAGGATGGAAATGTTGGTGAGGAGATGGAGATATGGAACTCATCCACTGTTTGGATGCAATTTGGTGTAGCCTCTAGGGAAAATGGTATGCAGATACCTTAAAAAAAATCACATATAATCCAGCAATACCTCTGCTAGGCATTTACCCAATAATATGAAAACTTGAATATCAAAAGATTTATGCACTCCTATGTCCATAGAACACTACCCACAAATGCCAAGTGATGGAACTAATTAATTACCTGACAACAGATTACTGGATAAAGAAGTTGTAGGATGCACATTCAATGTGTACTACTCAGCTATTAAAAAAGATGAAATAGTGACTTTTGGGGTAAAATGGATGGAGCTTGAGGTGACTATGCTAAGTAAGTGAAAAAGTGAATAAAAGATATCAGATGCTTTCACTTATCTGTGAAATATAAATAACCAAAAAACATGTGCTGGCAAAGCACTGCAATGGAAATCTTAGACTTAGTGAAAACTATGCTGGTTACCAGAGGAAACGGGGGAGGCAAGAGGGGCTGAGGGCAGGAAGGGGGTGCGTGTTGCCATAGGCGGCTTGGTGACGGGTTGAGTGGAGCATGTGCACCCTGGGAGGAGTAAAATGCTCCTCAGACATGTGAGCACATTATTAATAAGAAAATCAAGAAATGAAAAGAACATGTTGAAAAAAGAACCTCCCCATGCACTGCTGGAGAGAATATAAATTGGGGAGTCACTATAGAAAACAGTATGGCAATTACTCAAAAAATTAAAAATGTATCTACCATACGACCTAGTGTTCCCACCTTTGGTATTTACCTGAAGAATATGAAGACATAATTCAAAAAGATATATGCACTCATATATGCATGGCACTCACAAATAGCCAAGCATGGAAACAACTCAATGCTCTAGAACAGAGTGAGCTGGAAGATGTGTATAGACACAAGGGACACACTCATTCATGAAAAAGATGAAATTCCGTGATTTTTGAACACATATCCATATCATGAGGGGATTATATCTCAATAAAGCTACTTAAAAAAAAACATACCCAGTTGATGATAAATACTAAAAACCTGGAAACTGTTTTCAGTATAATTATTGACTAGGAAGAAAGAAAGAAGGGAGGGAGGGAAGAGGAGGTGAGCTTCATGAAGGATGGATGAGAGCAGAGAGAGAAAGGAAATTATTTCTGTCTGTAACTCAAATATCTGGCCTTATTTTTGAGCTGAAGATCCTGTAGATCAGGATTTCCCAACCCCTTTTCAGATTCTGAAGGTAGTGGTTCCCAAAGTGTTACCTGTAAGCCCCACAAACCTTGTTAGGAGTGCTAGACTGGATGAATCTGGCATCTGACCTGGGGGCCACAGCTGTGATGTAACCAGCGATTCTGCTTTGCCTCCATGTTGGACTACCATTTCTGCAGTCAGACTACCTTTTATGCATCATGTGACTTTTTGACCTTGCGCAAATCCTGAACCAGCTGTAGCCATTTCCCCATTTAAAGTGGGTATAATGAAAAGGGCTGCTGACTCCACCTGGGCAATCCTCTTGAAGCTTAGGATGCATCATCTCTGCCACCTGCCAGGTTGCAAAATATATGACTCTACAACAAATGAAAAAGAAATTAGTTTTTATTGAGGATTTTAGAAGATGCAGGGAAGGGGATTTGTATCAGGTACTCCATAGCATCTTTAAAAGGCTTATTAAATTTCTATTTAAATATGTTTCTTCTCCTGCCTTGAATTTCTTCACCATTCACTAGGTCTATTACCTCTTTTGGTCCAAACACCACTCTCTCATCCATTCCTGACTCTTTTCCCTTCTCTACACATTTCTTTTCTTGAAAGGATAGGTTAAGAGCCCCTGTCTCTTTCTACAATCTGTATCCTTAGACCCATCATTGAGTTCAACCAAGAAGGTTATGTGAAGGGTAGAAAGGGAAAACTCATTATTTCCACCAAAATGCTTCCATTTCCTCAATACAATAGTCCCAGTAAGAGAGATGACAGTCTGAAGCACAGGAGATCATGTTTGGTAAGTGGCAGGCATGTTTGGTAAATCTTAGTAGCTGTTCATGTTATTGTTTTTTGAGCAAAGCAAGCATCATCCATTCACACATTCAAGATGAATCACGCTCACAGTTTCCCAAGTCAGCAACATGGATATCCCCTCTGCCAGGCCAATCTCAGGCATGGGAGAAGTGAGAAGCTGACATACAGGGGGATGCCATTTTGGGGATATTGTGTTCCAGTGACACTAGGAAGAATGAAGTCAACCAGACAGGAGAGAAGAGAGGGAAAAAAAACAAAACCCCTAGAACTTACAGCGCATTTGCTGAAGGAGAAGGTAGGGATTTATGCACAGAAATCACTACAAGAGAAGTGACTATTCCCATTTTCCAGATGGAAAGTGTGTATACCTGCCACAAGTTGGCAACATCAAGAGTTCTGGAGAAAAAGTTTGGTGAGGAAAGTCTTTTTCATAGCATTTTTTAGCTCCTTGTTCCTGAGGCTGAAGATGATGGGGCTGAGGAAGGGTGTGAGAACTGTATAGGTGAAGCCCATCAAGGTGTCACCTTCCAGAGACTGGGGACCCTTGGGCTTTAGGTAGATGACAGAGGCAAAGCCATAGTGCACGACCACCACAGTGAGGTGGGATGCACACGTGGAGAAGGCCTTGTGTCGACCCTCAGCTGAAGGGATCCTTAAGATGGCAGCCACAATGAAGGCATAAGAAAGGAGGATGAGGAGGAAACAGCACATTAGGGCCATGATGCACACCAGACCCACGCCCATGGCCACCAGGGATACATTTTCTCCACAGGCCAACTTCACCAGGGGTGGCACATGGCAGAAGAAATGGTGAACCTCATTGGGCCCACAGAAGGTTAGGTGGAAAATGGCTGTTGTCACCACCAGCCCCATGATAGAGCCACCAGCCCAGGACCAGGATACAAGACAGGCACAGCCATGGGGGCTCATGAGCACATTGTAGCGCAGGGGGTGGCAGATGGCCACGTAGCGGTCATAGCCCATGACGGTGAGTAGGAAGGAGTGTGTGAAGCCAAACGTGAAGGAGAAGAACATCTGGCTGGCACAGGCCCTGTAGGCAATGGAGTGGTGTGTGGAGAGCAGGTCGGCCAACATGCGCGGGATGATGGCAAAGGTGTAGAAGATCTCCGAGATGGAGAGGGCACACAGGAAGAGGTACATGGGTGTGTGAAGGCTGTGCTCTCTCCAGATGGTGGCCATGATGAGCAGGTTCCCCAGCAGTGTGAACAGGTACATGAACAGGAACAGTGAGAAGAACATCAGCTGAAGTTGGGGGAAGGTGGAGAAGCCAATGAGGATAAATTCAGACACAGAGGTGTAGTTTAGTTCTGGCATGATTATCAAGCCTGTAGGGGGAGAGAGGGAAGAAGGCACCATGGTAGGAACTTCAGATCTCTAGTAAGCCCTGTGGGAGCTCCTTTAACTTCAAGACTGGGTAGTCCACCTGCAAAATGACATGCATGACAATGGTCTACCTATCACAGAGCTTCTTGAAGTTTGAATAATAGAATGCATCTAAAGTGTTCAGCAGAGAGTAAAAATTCAGTAAATAATAAAAACCAATCTATATTATTACTATTTTTAAGTCCTCAGTAGCATGACCTCAGGGTCTCAATTCAGCCATGGGTTGAATGTTCATGTCAAATTTTGTCATTACCTCTAGTCATTTCTTTATTTTCACCAATTAATTTTTTCTAACATACATATGTCTAGGAGAAAATGTACTAGCTTGAAAGTAAGTATGACTGTTGGGAAACCTGTTCTAGGTTGTGGTGTATAGACCAAGATAAACAAGTAAGCTAAAATAAGCTTAATAACAATGACAGCAGATGTTTTGGTTTATTAGTTCCCCAGCAGAATGAGTTGGAGAATTGCTGCCAATGAGTGAGCATAACTGGTAAAATCTCCTCCCACAGAGGAGTGGTTTGTGAGGAATGTCCTTCCCTGCAGACTTTCAAAAGTCAACTTGTTAAGAAGATGAGTAAGAAAGAGTCAAAATAAGGTCAATTAGCCAAGATCTTTTTCTCAGGGCCTGAGGTCCTTTATGTGGGCAAGAAAGAATTATTTATAAACTATCTACTTTTCGGCACGTATCAGGCAATGTGCCACTTACTTCTGAATGCATTATTTCATGGAATCATCTCAACAAATCAACAGTGTGATTCTTATCATTTCTGCATTATGTAAGGAAAAACTGGCATTTTGAAAATCCACACATAGCTACTTGACAATGGATATGAAATAACTGTTAAAATTGTTAAGCTACTGCAGCTAGAACAACTACTTTAAAGATTTATCTTTATTTATTTATGCACACAAGAACTGAAATATAGGCCAGAGACGATGAGGCAGGGGTGGGGAGATGATTCACCAGAGACAGAGCGGGGAGCCGAACAGGTAGATCTACTGAAATACTCTGCTGAAGGGAGCAGTGGGCAGGACAGGAGAGGTCTGCTAGCCATGTGAGTCAGCTTCCTGGCTGGGGATTGAACTCGTGTCTCATGCCATAGTGGCTAGCATAGCTTGATAGCACTGCGGCTTTAACCTCTGCACCACTAGGGAGGCCCTAGAAACATTGCTGAGTAACATTACATCAGAAGTGACAAGGTGTTTGGGTATTTACCCAAGCTGATACCAAATTTCAAGTTAATATACAAATCTGGAAATTACTATTTCTTCTAAGGATGGCAAAATAGGAAACACTCCTGCAATCCGCACAACACAGCATAATGCCCTCTAGTGATTTCTAAATAGGAATGAAAAATTGAGTGAAAAAAACAGCAATGTAGTCTTTAAAAATTAATACACTGGTTATGGTGGTGGCACAGGTGACTTGGTGATGGGAAACCCGCGGGGATTACAATTGAGATGGAAAAAAATGTACAAAATGATGTAAAAATAAACTGTTGTATAATAGAAAAATTAATACACTGGGATTACTAATAAAAAAATTCAAATCAGAAAAATCTAGTATTTGTTGGTGTCATACCTTGAAAGGATCTCTGAGCCATCTACAAGGTTTTTCCTACTTTATATACAAAACTCTACTGTTATACACATGTGTTAAATAAATTTGAGAAGTTATTTTAAAATAGTAACAATAACATATCAACATGTGGTTGATTCCTCAACCCTACTCCCAATCCCATTGATTACCCCTACGAGGAAGTATTTGTATTTCACTTATATGTGGAATACAGAGAAACCAAACAAAGGCTGAAGCAAAAGACAAATTGTAAACCCAGTCCTTGAAAACTTACTGTAGAACTGAGGCTTCCAAGATGAGAATGTGGTAGCAGGAATGGGGGAGGGATGAGAAGAGGAGGGGAGAGCACAATGGACTAGCACAGAGGACTATGGGTATTTTGTTTGGGGGAAGCTAGGAAGGTCATACCTAAGGGGAGAAGTCCTATATTGTCAAAATATGAGCAAAGATGTAAAAACAATGGTACTTCTTAATAAAAGATATTTAAAATAATAATTTGAATTAAAATACACAAGACTTCCAAGCAAATAATAAAATCTCTAGTTAATAGAAAATATGACAAACATATTTGTCATATTTGTAAAGACACAAATTTGAAATGTAAAGGTAATATGACAAAGATGTCAATTCTCCCTGAAATTCAATCTACACACTCCAAGTAATAGCAAAAAATCTAATTGGTTTTTTTTTGAGAAAGACAAGAAACTTACTCTAAAATTCCTATGAAAAAATAGTGACCCATAAATGACCAAGTCAATGCTGAAATGAAGAGTGAACAAAAGACAGGGAAGTATTGCCTTCTGAGATGTTAAAACATCCTATGAAGTCCTGGAATTAAGGCAAAACAGAAAAAATGATAAAAAAAAATGATCAGTCAAAACCAAATCAAAGATAAGGACAATTAGAATAGTGGTTGACAATGGAGACTTCAGACTGGAGCCATTTACATATGGTTAAGGTCACACTAAAAATCAATTGAAAAGGATGAGCTGGATATTCCTGAGGAAAGTCTCTCCCTATACAGATAAAAACGAGACTGGATTCTCTATAACTTCCCATACAAATACAGAATAAAGGTAGATTAATACCCTAACTATGAGAGACAAAATATTGTTCATAATAGAATGTGTGGTCTAAACACAAGAAAAGAGTTTCTTAAAAAGAAAAACCCCACAAGGCTTAAGTAAAATGGATAATTTCCATTAGCATCAAAATTATGACTCATTAGCAAACACATCATGGATAAAATTAATAGATGATAGAGAGAAAAACAGATACTTACTAATTTAAGGAGTTTCTAGAGAGGTCTTCTGTACAACATAGTGCCTATAGTTAACAATGCAGTAATGTTCATATGTTAAGAACATATACACAATGGAATACCATTCGGCTACAAGAAAGAATAAGCTCTTGCCATTTGTCACAATGTGGATGGAACTAGAGTGATAATACTTAGCAAAATGAATCAGAAGGAAAAAGACAAGTGTTACGTGGTTTAACATCTATGTGGAACATAAAGGAACAAAAATGGTCAATTGAAACCAAATCAGTAATAAGCCCAAGAACTCTTTGGAAATAAGGCTACCAGAGCTGAAGAGGGAGAGCAAAGCACGGAGGGAGCACAATGGACTGTAGGTGCAAGCACTGGGTGCTTGGTGGTGGGTGTGGTGTGGACACATACATCTGAAGAGGTGTGAACCTATATCACATACAGTTGTAAGCTAATCTACTTTGATAAGATTAAAAAAATTCCTCCTACTAGGTATGAAATAAAACTTGTTAAAATTATACACAATTGCATTGTGTTGTAATCATCAAATCTGCTAAGTGACTAAATTTTAAATAGTCCCACCATAGAACATAGAAAATATTGATAATTATTTGACTCTAAAGAGGTGCTATTGCTACAGTGCTTTCACATTAAAATATATAAATGCATTGGGCTCTCCCTGATGTGCAACAGGTTAAAGCACCACATTATGAAGCTCTCCCTCTGGAGCCACTGCAGCACAAGTTCAATCCCCAGCCAGAGAGCTGACCTTCATGGCGTGGCAGACCTCTTCTGACCTGCCCGCTGCTCCTCTCAGCAGTGTACTTTGTCGATCTGCCTGTTGCTGTTCTCCACTCTGTCTTTGGTGAATCCTCTCACCCACCACACCTCTGTCCTGTACCCCAGTTCTGTAAGGAAAAATAAGTAAATCTTTAAAAAATATATAAGTAAATCAACATGTTGTACACAATAAATTTTTATATCAAATACATTTGAGTAAAAGTGCACTTGTTAAGAGGGTAGATTTCATATTAAATGTGATTAACACACACACAAGGCACACACAAAATCTTTTGGGAGTGATGGTTGTGTTGATTACCTTGATTGTGGTGATGGTATCACAGATGCAGGCATATGTCTACAAACTCATAAACTTGTATACATTAACAATGTAGAGATTTGCATGTGCAATATACCTCCAGAGAGCTGAAAATAAGCATGGAGAGGAGACTAATAACTAGAATCTATAAGGAACATGTAAAATCATTGAATAAAGACAGAAATCATGATAAGAATGAGAACTTTTTTATACTCATTTTTATTTTGAAAAGGAAGATCCAACAGGCAAATGGCGAATAGGGTCAGCTCTAGCTCATCAGCAGTGAAAGGCATGCAATTTCATATATAGTGATGTATCATTCACACTTTTAGAGTAAACAGATTTGAAGTTTATATTTTGCACCAGAAGTGAAGATGATTTCATTCATTGGAGCAAGGTCCTGGTGTTTCATTACCAAATCAAGGGAACACTTACTCTACATCTGCCAACACTGCTCCTGGACCCATCTGATCAAAATCCTCACACAAGTCCGTGGAGGGACGTGAGCAAGGGTCTTCCCTGTAGCACTGTCAGTGGTGGTAGAATGTTGGGAACAGTCTGAGAGATTCCCCATTTCTGGGGGACATAGAGGCAAAATGTGATGGCTATGCACCATGAATTTTTCCTAAATAACACTTAGAAAACAAGAAACCCCATATTCACATAGAAACATGGATCACTCTTAAAAAGGTAGTGTTGGGTGAAAAATTAGAAACTAACGGGTGAGTGCCAGCATAGTATGATGTCAATATAAGTCAAAATATGTATGAAGCAATAGATATTTTATAAGAAGTTGTGCAAACTGAACAAAGAATGGCTTGTTAGAGGAGGGAAGACTGGTGGGACATGATGAATGGGAATAAACACAGAGCACCATTATTGGGCACACCATTGTTGATGGAATCACATCAACTAAGGAATATGATTCACTCAAGTCTCTAAAATTTGTCTAATAGAAATTTATGACTCTGCTGTTATCC